TTAACGTTACAGAAAGTCTACAGAAAATTATGCCAACGTGACCATCTAACAAGTGTGTGGGATACCATGAGATCACTAGTGTCTACCCTTTTTTTTCTTGCTGGCAATATCATGCTGTCTTTAAAGGTAACTTTTAGAGGCTTTGCGTTTTTATCCTACTACTTTCCTAATTCTTGTGTTAAGTAGGGGTAGTTGTCTTGCAGTCAGTCTGCGATAAATCTTTACTGAAGAGCTCATGAGTAATCGAACATAGAAAACGAATCTTGAAATAATAACTACGTGTTTCTCTTTCCCTTTCAAGGATCGGGTTTCCTGGCTCAGAAGAGTTTTTATAAAGTGGGCTAACTCTGATGCGTTTTAGTCCGTGATAGATCTTCATCGAAGTGGTCAGGAGCAATTGAGCATAGAAAAATTAATCATGACATCACTGAGCCGAATCCTTTTAATCAATTGGTCGTTGTTCAACTTTAGATTTCGTTCTAGGCTGCCGTTCATCATTAAGGGATGTGAAGGTTTAGTCCATTTCTAATGCCTCAATACAAAGGACTCAGTGCTTGTTTTCGACATTGGCAAGACATGAACAAGAAAGGAGCCTTTTACCATGAACTAAATACTTTTGTCAACTATAAGGCTGCATCTGGTCTTGATTCTGAAGAGTATGAATGACTTATGAAAATCTCATAACTATTTCTTCCTTTTTAAGAAAAATTTTTTACAGTGAGGCTTTTCCGTAATCATCAGGCAAGAATTTTCTTCTATGTTGTTTCTAAAGGTGGCTGACCTGCAAGGAATAATTTTGGCTCAACTTTCCCTTTTCCTGCTGTCAATTGTTTGGTCACCTACATTTAGAGAATTCCAAGTTCAAAATACGCCTAGTGAGGAAGATAGAGAGACAGGAATGGAGCACAGCACCGATGCTGTAAAGGAATGCGTTGATACGTTACAAAAGCCAGGAACTAATTCGAAATTCAGGCCGAAGGAGACGTTCACGACAAAGCCTGTATATGAAGAAATGACTAGTGATATCAATAACAACAGTAAAGGATCCTCGCAGAGTGAAACCGGACCTCCTAAGTTGACCAGAACAGCTCAAGCGAAAACGGCCGTTATTTCTTCCCTTTGTAAACTATTCTTCATACCTTTAACGGCAGTTGCATTTTCAACTGTTTATGACATTGTGAAACTTAACACCTTTGAAGGATTTAAGGCCATAACAACATCAAATCCGTCATTTTTATACTTCATACTCCACATTTTGACCAGCTTCTTTTGCTTCCATTTTGGATGGATCGCGTGTTCTCTTCGTATGCAAAGGATTGGATTGGCTCTTCCCTTGACACTAGCAACACCAATCACTGTCATCATAACCCAGTTTAAAGGGTTTTGTGAAACAGAAACAATTCCGTTACCATGTGCATCAGGAGACATACACTATGTTCTTGGTGCAGGACTCCTTCTGTGGTTGGCACAATGTTTGGGAACCACGCACTACCTTTGGGAAAGTCCAGGAAAGATATTGGGAAAAGTGTGCGACTCATTTTGGATTCCTTATTATAATGGTAAGCCTGTTACAAACATTTCCTTATCAAAACTGAACTGCTTTCAATTGTATAACTTATTGACTTTTGTAAACCTTTAGGCTTATTTAAGGCTCACATGAATTTCAA